TCTATTTCTTCTGTCAGTTCTGTAAATCTTGCTTCCTCTTTTTACAGTTCAGTCTTTAGGTTAAACACATTTGATACTACGATGTCACCTAGTGAATTTATGCCTTTATCTTTGTAAAATGTCGTTCATTATCCCATTTGGTAATTTTTGGGTTTTCCCTCCCTGGGCATAATCAGAAACTGACTCTAGACAGAAGGCTGTGGCAATCATAGGGCTCATTGCTTGTTTTTTTCTCCTTGGGCTCACAGACTACTGTTTCAGGTCTGCAATCAGTTGTTTCATATATTTTTTCCAGTGTGTTACCTGGTTATGGTGAAAAGGTAAGGCCAGAGCCTGTTACTCCCCATGGCTGCTAATGGCAGTGTGCCAATTTAATCATGACATATTTTATTTACTACATTTAACAAATGTTTCTGGAACACCTATTGTTGAAAGTCTGCGAACCCAGAGATAAGACAGTCACAGGCCAATGCTATGGAAACAAGTAAAAAGTTACAATAGTGTGGCAGCTTTCAAATATGGCCCCCAAATTCTTTAATACTCTTTCCATGGAGAGGTGGGATTTATTTCCTTTCCCCTTGAGTGTAGATGCTGCAATTGCTTGTCCAGTGGTATATGACAGAAGCACTGCTATGCCCACTTTCTAGTTCAGGTCTTGAGAACTGGGAGTTTCCTTTTCCTGCCTCTTACAATGCTCAGTCCAACGTGCTGACACACGGGAGGTCCCCTGCAGGTGTTCTGGCCGACAGCCCCAAAGACCCAGCCAATTGCCAGTGTCAACCACCAGTTATTTAAGTGTGCAAGCTTTCAAAAGACTGTAGTCCTGGTGAATGATCCCAGCCTTGACCACCCTCTTACTGACCTTGTATGGAAGACAGGCAAGTTATGCCCACAGACTTCTGTCCAAGTTTTTGATTTGCAAGCAAAAGAAATGATTATTGTTGTCCTAGGTCAGAAACTTTGGGGTGATTTTTATGTAGTAAAAGATACTTAATACCATTAAGTGCTATGATAGAAATGGTCAATAATCAATTAACTAACAAATACTTACTATTTGCCTATTATAGTTCAGAATTGGAATTTGAGTGGAGATTAGGAGAAGGTATAGAATCAGAGCAGAAAAGTAGAAAGAAATGCTTGTTTGAAGACATGGAAAATATGGGGGAATCTGAAAGACTAAAGTAGAGGGTCTGAGAAACTAGTTTTTAAAAAATGAGATTTTCAGGGACCAGTTCTATAAGGATGTAATACTAAGGAATTAGGACTTATTTATTTATTTAGTGACTGCATTCCCCATCAGCTATACTCTATAAAAGAGCTTTAATCTCTGTGTTTCCAGCATCTAGTATGGTACTTGGTACACACAAGGAGTTAATAAATATTTATTAAATGACTGACTGAAGAACCATTTGATAACTTTAAAGGAATAACATAATCAGATTTTTGTTTTAGAAAAATCATTCCAGCAGGGGTATGGAGAAACTTAGGTGTATTTATTCAGCTATTATAAGAAAATGTCTTAGGCTAGGGGCTTAAACAAGAGATTTTTAAAAACAGTTCCGGAGACTGGAAATCTGCAATCAGGCTACCAGCATGATCAGGTTCTGGGGAGCATTCTCTTTCTGGCTTGCAGACACAGCTGCCTCACTGCGTCCTCATGGTAGAGAGGTAGAGAGAGTAAGCTCTCTGGTATCTGTTCTTATAATGGCACTAATCTGACCACAAGGGCCCCACCTTCATGTCCTCTTATAAATGTAATTGCTTATCTACCCAGAGAAGGAAATGGCAACCCACTGCAGTGTTGTTGACTAGAGAATCCTATGGACAGAGGAGCCTGGTGGGCTGTCGTCTATGGGGTCGCACAGAGTCGGACACGACTGAAGAGACTTAGCATGCATGCATTGGAGAAGGAAATGGCAACACATTCCAGTATTCTTGCCTGGAGAATCCCATGGACAGAGGAGGTTGGTGGGCTACTGTCTATGGGGTCGCACAGAGTCAGACATGACTGAAGTGATTTAGCAGCAGCAGCAGCAATTATCTACCAAAGGCTTGATCTCTAAATATTATCACATTGGTTGGTAGTCATGACTTCAACATACGAATTTTGTGGGGACATGATTCAGTCCATAGCAGTAGGAAAGGAGAAAAACATAGCAGGAGATAAATGTAAAAAATCATCTAAAAGATGATAGGAGTGTGAACTGAAGTAGTGTTAGTAAGATTCTTTTTTTTAAAACCTTAAAATTTTCCTGGAGTAACTCTATTTGCATGGAGGTGTCTTCTTCTTTTTTTAATGTAGTAGAATTTTCAAAATCAAACTAAGAAAGAAAAAGGGAATAATATATCAAAATTAACCACAGAATCTAGTAAACACATATTACAGAAAACACCTTAATGTTTCTTTTTGTCTGATGCCCAGTCCTGTCTGACTTTTTGCGACCCCATGGGCTGTAGCCCACCAACCTCCTCTGTCCATGGCAAGAATTCTGGAGTTATCCAGGGTATCTTCCTGACCCAGGGATCAAACCTGCATCTCCTGTGTCTACTGCATTGCAGGTGGATTCTTTACCACTGAGTCACTATGGAAGCCCCTGAATATGTCACTACAATGTTTTTAAAACTATGGTAAAAGTAAAAGTGAAACTCATGTAGCTTCAATGTTTTAAGGGATGATCATGGAAAGGCAACTTCAAAATACAAACCACTCTCACTTTTTCTATTTGGTTTTATGTTAAATAATATTAAAAATGCTTTAAAAAATGCTTTCATAGCCTATTAATCATAAAGTCCTCAAATGGCTAACATCATTCTTCCAGGTCAGAATACATGGATAATTCTATGAAGATTACTAAGTGTGCTATTTTACTTTAGTATTTCCAGAGTGCACATACTGATGAGCAAGGCTTGAACAATTTACTCACTAGCTTACTGCTGGCAACAGAGTTCTTCAGTGATGCACAAAGCACATCCAAATGCTTCTTCATAAATATCTACAGATACACGACAATTATGATTAATGTGTCCCAGACACTAATGTTTGGGAACTTGAGGTAGACAAGTTGTCACCTGATCCTGTCAGCCCAGTAATCAAAAACTTGTTTTTCAGAGAGAATTTTCCGCTTCACTGATTAACACTGATGTTTTGGAAGAATTTTATACTTGTTATAAGGAAACATAAGCAAGCCTTGGTATTGACTCCTTAAAGTGTAAAGAACTGGTGGGACTAACATACCACATTTTTTACACTGTTAACTATTTTGCTGCTTTTCAAAGAAACATAGGCTCATGTATTTGTAACACAGCATTAAAATATTTGTAAAATATCAACTGCCTAAGAACAAAATATCATCACAGATCTTACAATTCAGAAATAATCAAATTATTCTCATCTATGTCTTTTCAAACTGAAAATTTGGGGTATTGTATAATCCTATATGGTTTTGTAAGCAGCTTTTAAAAAGGAATGTACTTAGACGTCATTCTGTAAAAACACAGATCTGTATTAACACTTTTAATAGATGGAGAATTTTTAGATTGTGTGTACTATGACCAATACGAATTAAAATGATTACTTACATTTATTTAGTGCTTACTATATGCTAGATATCCAAGGGCTTCCTTTGTATGAATCCATTTGATCCTTACAACCCGATTATCACTCCTGTTTCATACAGATGAGAAAACTGAGGCACTGAGAAGGAAGTTAGCTGTCTAATCCCTAATGTCCTGCATTTTTCTGGTTAACAGTGCTTTGATATTATAAGCAATGTTGCCAAGAACATCTTTGTTCATGTTGTTAAAGAATCTCTTTAGGATAAATTTCAAAAAGTTGTTGGGTCCAGAGGTATTCACATTTTAAAACCTTGTGTTACACACTTTCAAATATTTCTACTGAGAGACTAATAATTTCATTTAACAATATGAGTGTATGATTCCCCACATCCCTGGTTCTTTTTCATCTTTGTCTGACAAAAACGTATCTAACACTACTTTAATCTGCATTTCTCACTTTTAAAAACGGAACCTCATAATGGATTTTTTCTAAGCATTCTCCGTCTATCACAATACTAACCTTGTTGACACGTTCTAAACGTTTACAAGGTACAGTCAGCAGTTACGGTAAATTTTGGTAAATTTACATAATTTCAATTTACATGCAAGATGCTCCTTAGAATTTCTACAGGATACAGAGAACAGTTTTTGTTATTGTTAAGTAAGCTTATAAATAAAATTACTAAATAGCTTAAGTTATTACTAATCACTGATCAAGCTTTAGATCCATTTTTCAGCTTTTTTTTTTTTTGGAGGGGGGGTTGTCTATTGCAGACCTTTTTGGTCAACTGCCAATCACTGTTAACAGCCTGCGGATCACACAGCTAGTAGCTGCCAACGCCCAACTAGAAGAGCTTTCGACAGAGCTTCCAGGCAGGCCTTCGGGGACTCGCTGGAAGGTGCCAGCGCCGCCCCAGCCTCCGTGAGGAGCCGCGCGCCTGACACTCCCCTCTTTGGGATTCGGGCCAAGCCGCCCGCTCACATGACTTTACCAGAGCAAGCTTCCTGTCACCGCGGGCAGCGACCTGAACTCATAAGCCCTTTTACTTAGATAAGGAATGGAGTTTCCATCCTCCGCCCTAGGGACCACAAACTTGTGACCACCATCGGAGCTCGGGGGAAAAGAGGGTTTCTCTCTAGCCAGACGCGACCCCTTTTCTTTCTGCTCATCCTCTGATTCACGCCTGAGCTCGTTAGTCGTCTTCGGCGCGCCTGGAGGACCCCGTCCTCCGGAGGCTCCGGACCAAGGCCAAGTCAGGAAAGGCAGGCATCCCTGCCACTGTCCCGTGGGGCTAGTCAAAGGGGGTCCTGGCGGAGGGGGCTCTGAGGTTGGGCCGGTTTCTGCGGGGCAAGTTCGGGGCAGGTTCTGGACAGGCGAAGCCCAGGGCACCCAGATTCCCGACAGGCTCCGCGCCCGGGGCCTTCGCGGCTCCTCCGCTCTTGCCGCCGCCGCTGCTGCCGCGGTTGCTGAGGGTCTGGGAGAGCTGGGGCTGTCGCGGGCCGTGGAGAGTCCTTCTCGGCCGCTGTTTTTGCCCGAGGAGACTTCCTTCCTAGGTCGCACCCTGACTCCCGTGGTGTCGAGGGGGAGTCCCTGCGGACACCTCTGCACGCAGTGGAGATGCCTCTGTTTGCCACCAATCCCTTCGATCAGGATGTCGGTAGGTACTTCTGCCGCCCCCTGTCCACCCCCCGGCAGACCGCGAGCCCGCTCGGCCCGCTCCCGGCGGACGGTCTGGACCCCCGGGCCGGGCGGAGTCCTTTCTCTTTCATGAGGCTCTTTCTGTAAGGGTTTGGAGGAGGTTGGGGGCATGTCGCATCTTCTTACAAAAAAAAAGGGGGGGGGGGGATGAGAGAGCTGGGAAATAGGCCTGGAGCTGGGGCTGTGGGTTCCGAAGGAACTGCTGGAACGGTGGGTGTCGAAGGCCGCGGAGGAACAGCTGGTGTGGCATCTGGTGCTGGGACATTGCTCCTGGGAGGACAGAATCGAGAGCTAGGGAGTCCCAGCTGGCGTAGGATGATAAGCTGTGTGATGAAGAGTTTCCCGGACACATGTCAAACGTTGGGAACTGGGATAATGTTTTAGGTTAGCTTCCTTAGAGGACTTTAAAATCTGTTTTATAACTACCAGGGAGAGGGAGGAGAGAGCTTAGGTTAAGGGTAGACTCTTAAAGATACTGGGAGAGAGATGAAGATGGAATACTTGACAACAATATAAACACGCTTGAGGACCTGATTCGCTGGGTTGCCTTCCTAGGGTAGGTCTGAGTACTTTAAGTGTAGAAGAGGACTTGGGATCTGAAAATGCTAATTTGTTCTGAATTTGAAATACTCTTTTTTGTTTGTTTCGTGAATCACAAGTTTTAAGTACTGATTATACCAAGTCAACAGGTTAGCTCTGTGTGTGTGTTTTCCTGGTCTGAGGGTAATAATGACAGGAGTTTGAATTTTCCCTGAGAGAATTTTGGGGTGATTTGAATACATTTGTATGGTGCACAGGTGTGAAATGAAAGCAAGTTAAACACCATGTCTAATTGTTATAGTCAAGAAAAATAAGGCCGACCTTATGGAATTACTATTTCTCTATTTGTGTAGTTTAATTATGAAAGGTTTGAATTTGCTTTTTAATTCCCAACTTACAGCCTGCCACTGAAGCGTGATGGTTTGGGTTAAGATTAGAAAAGGTTTCAGTCCTGTCCCGGCCACTGCCTAGCTCAGAAGGAAATCATGGGCAGGTTACTTAAGGTAACCAGGGTTCTTTGAGCCCTGGTGTCCTCATCTTTAAAGAGAGGGAAAACACATCCTGTTTGTGGTTCAATGAGATAACATGTATAGAGGATCTGCTGCAGTGCCTTTAGATAGTAGGCATCAACTCAAAGATAACTTTTTTGGGATATTTTAAATGAATGTCCTGCATCTTAGCAGTGGATGGAGCTTTAGAGGTCACTAGGGGTATTTATTAAATAAATAATTGAAAAGTAACATTTAACTTAATAAGTACTTAGCACACACTGTTTATAGGACACTGCTCAGTGACAGAAGAGATAGTGATGAATAAGAGAAGTGGTCGCTGCTCTCAAGCGGTTTTATAACTTACTACATTAATTTACAGGGCAAATGGTTAAAATAAAGCAGTTTCTTAATACCTGCTCCTTCTGTTTCTAGCACCTTAATCTAGTTTTCATGGTTGTATGTAACTGAGCTTCCACCTACATAATCATCTATATATCCCATTGCCCTTTGAACCTGCATTTCCATTGGATTTTTAATGTCAAACCCTTTCCCAGTACCTGCACCACCCAATTCAGACACAGGCTCCTTCTTGCTTTTACACTTTTGCTTGTATTGTTTCTTCTACCTTTCTGCACGTCCTCATGATTAAAGGCCAACTCAGCATCCAGCTCATACCTGAATCATATCCTGATTACTCTAACTTGGAGTTTCCATAGGTGACATTACAAACGGTTTGGGCCAGGTAAATGTCTTTGTCTTGGGTATCTGTCCTCTGCAATGTAGGGTGTTTAGTAGCATCCCTGACCTCTCCCCACCCAACCCACAGCTATGATTTAAAACATCTCCAGACACAGCTAAATGTCCCCTGAGGGCACAAAGTAGTTTCCAGTTGAGAAACATTGTTCTATCCCACTGTTGTTGCCACCCTTTTCAGACCTCCTGCAATACTTTTTGTCTTTACTAAATTATTTCATATTAAAGGTAGTCATATCTTGCGTTATGCTCCTTAACTCTTAACTTGTTGCTACAGAGGAGATGCCTAATAAAAATTTGTTGAATTGAGAATGTATCAGTTGAACCTGCTAGGGTAAGCTTCTTGAGTATAGGAGCATTGTTTTGCTCCAGAAAAGCTTATTTTTTGCTTGTTGTATTTTGGCTGCTCTGGCTGGTGACTGGCGGAGTCTTAGTTCCCTGTCAAACCTGTGCCTTTGGCAGTGGAAGCAGAATCCTAACCACTGGACCACCAGGGAAGTCCCAGAAAATTTTACCTTTTAAAAGCTAGGTTTTAGTGTTTGGATCAATTCTTTTGCATGATCCATGTATCAAAATATCATGAAAGGTTATCTAAGAAGACTTGCCAGAGACTCTCAGTAAATCATCCTGAGACAGAGTCCAGTAGACTCCCATTTAAAATTTTTTTACTAGGATGACATACAGAATATAGTATGTATAATACATTTAACTATTTCTTCTCACTTTATCCATCAGTGAGCATGTCAGTGATACACTCTCATTAACTCACTTGTTATATTTATCACTTAACATTAGCATATATTTTTACCACTTCAAAATTAATTGCCGTTAGCTTTATTCATCAATAAACTGGTAAACTGAAACCATAAATAAGAAATTTACTGATTTATACCATGTGACATTTTACATAAAGAAGTAAAACACTGAAGATAACTTTTCCTTTGAAGAAATGCCTCAATATGTTATTAGAACATATGCTCCCTGAGGACAGAGCTTTTTTTTTGGTTTGTTCACTGTATCCCCAACATGTAGACCACTGTCTGGCACTAGTAAACATTCAGTAAACATTTATTGAACACATGAATCTCATTTTAGATGTTTTATTTCTTGCTCAGTTGAACTCTTGAGTTATAAAGACAAGTCATTCCATCAAGCTTTTATTTCAAAGTCCCTGGTGAATTCCATTTTGCCAAATCCATCGGTCAATTCCTATTCCATTTCTTTGTTGATCTCTTAGCATTCCTGTTTTTGATGCACTTTATTCTCTTGGTTTCTAGGACACCAAACTTTTTCTAACTTTCTGCTTAGCTCTTTTTAAGTCTTTTTGGCTTCCCTCTCTCTCTCTTATTTTTTTTTGTGACTTACAAATGTTCAGTCCTAGAACTTATTTTTTGATATTTTTTTCCCCCTTTGGAGTCTTACAAGGCAATTTAGCTTAGTGTTAAGAATTCAGACTCTGAAGCTGCACTGCCTAAACTCAATTCCCAGGTTAGCTGCTGACCAGCCATTTAACTTTGCTAAGTTGCTTAAATATACTGTGCCTTGGTTTCCTTATTGTTAGTATGGGAAATAGAGATAATAACAGATTTTGGTTTCTTCCCCACATCTGCTCAGTCCTTCATCTTGCCTATTTCAGTAGATGGCATTGCTGATATTTACAGTCACTCATCTCTAATGTCTGCTGCTGCTGCTAAGTTGTTTCAGTCGTGTCTGACTCTGTGCGACCCCATAGATGGCAGCCCACCAGGCTCCCCTGTCCCTGGGATTCTCCAGGCAAGAACACTGGAGAGTTGCCATTTCCTTCTCCAATGCATGAAAGTGAAAAGTGAAAGTGAAGACGCTCAGTCGTGTCCGCATTTTAGCGACCCCATGGACTGCAGCCTACCAGGCTCCTCTGTCCATGGGATTTTCCAGGCAAGAGTACTGGAGTGGGGTGCCATTGCCTTCTCCGCTCTAATGGCCAGGAGTCATCATTGATTCTCCTTTTCCTTCACCCTCCACATCTATACTCTAAGCCAATTCTTCTGGTTCTCCTTTAAAAATATGTCTAGAATCTCATCACTTCTCCTTTGCTCATCACTGTTATCTTACTCCAGTCATCCTTCTCTCTTTGATAGGCTGGCAGGAGCTATCAGCTTCTTTGCTTCCATTCTTGCCCTTTACAATCAGTTTTCATGTACAAAGATCCATGTTCTTTTAAAAATCTGAGATACTGTCATTTACCTGCTCAGAATCTTCCAGGACCTTCCCATGCCACTTATTGGGAAATGCAAGTTCCTACTATGGCTCACAGTCTGATCCTTCCTGTGTTCTGATATTATGATCTCCAGACACTTTCATTCTAAGCTTCTTGGTTCTTAGTACACCAAGCTCATTCCTGCTGTGGTATCTACGTTTTGCTGTTTTCTTTGTCTAGGACATTCTTTACCCCAAGTATTTGAAGATTTGATATTCATTAGTCGTTCAAGACTGTTCAAATAAGTTTCTAAGAGAGGCTTCCCCTAATTTCTTTCTGTAAAAACTACCATCTTCACCCTGTGTCCTTGTTCCATTTTGTTTCTTCATTGTACTCAGCTACCTCCCATTGATTGATTGATTGATTGATTGTCTTGTGTGTAGAATATAAAGTCCTGTAGGATGAGGAATTTTAGTTCTGTTCCTAGTACGTTAGGGCCAATGCCTGGTACATAGGAAGCACTCAGTATGTATTTATTAAATAATGAGTTGTTGATATGTTGCTCCCTCTCTGGCCTTGCCTATCTATTTGGTGTTCTGTTACCACCTAAAAAAAAATCAATGTCAGAAAACTGAGCTTATCTTTCCAGATGGGTTCTTTCTTAATTATGTAGTTTATTTTATCATGTTCTAGTTATCTTGGTTTGAAACCCAAGAGACATCTTTGGAATCATGACCCTGCTTCTGCCGAATCATCATGTCTTAGTTTTTATAATACTGCATTTGCATTCCTAGTCACACTGCTTTGGTCCAGTTCATACCCTATAACCTTGGACATGTTTTGTTAGCCCAGTCAGTATCAAACCACAACGAGTTTAATCTTCATAAATGTCAGTATCACCGTCTCCTGCAGTTCAGGGTGAGGGAAAGACCTTGCTTGGGCTTTGGGTTTAAACTCTAGGTGCAGCATCGGCTCTTAGTAAATGGGCAGAATGTGGAC